ACTGCACTAGGTGCTAGTGATTAAGTACAACCCGCTGAATCCTTGCCCTCGGGAAGATTACCTTTAGTAAAGAAGACCTCACATAAATGGTATACTTATATAATGACAAATTATGGGAACAAGCAGTAAAATGAGTGAAGGGTGTTGGGGACTGGAGCCAAGGGCCAAGAAAATTCTTGAGACCTCTTTGGTGCAAAAAAAGTGGATTTATTAAAGCACGCTGACAGGCACTGTGGGCAGAAAGCTGCACTGGGGTCATGAGGAGTGGCCCATTATATACTTTAAAGTTTGGTGAGGCTTAGCGATAGCTTAGTCTCTAAGGAATTTGGAAGCAAGGTTTCCAGGACCTTGAGGGGGCTACCTATTGTTGGGAAAAGGTCGTTTATTACGGTCTAATAAAACCTGAGTGGTGAGACCCTTCAGATGTGTATCTGTGGGCAACATGCTTGGGGGATGATTGTCAACATACATATTGGGGGAAATTGCAAAGGAATTTCTATATGTTTAAATTAGACTCACAGGATCCTGGGGTGTCGGGCTAACTTTGCCCTTAGCAAAGTGTCAACATCATGGCAGCCAAGCTCCCAGAGGAAGGTCACTCTGTCTCTTCTAAGGACTTGTCAATGGGCTGTAAGTAGTAAGGAAGTTTAATTTTTCTTTTGCCTTTGTTTCCCACATCAAAGGGGATGAAGAGGATTCATGCTTTAAGAAGTTGGGGAAGTTTTTGAAAGAGAGAGAATTAACCTGAGATATAGAAGAGAAGTAGGAGCTATTCACCAGGGAGAAGAGCCTTCCAGACAGGGAAAAATTTATGTCAGATTCTCTGGCCGTGGTCACAGAACTTCATCTACTTGAGGTTCAGTTTCCTCATCTGTCAGATTTAACTGTCACTGTCCCCTACGGGCCAAGCACTGAAAAATGCTGAAAACATTACATTAGGTGATAGGTATGATTGCATTCATCAGATTTTCTTTTAAAGATTTTATTTATTTATTTGAAAGAGAGCATGAGCAGGGTGAGGAGCAGAAGGAGAAGCAGGCTCCCCACTGAGCAGGGAGCCTGATGCACAGCTCGATCCCAGGACCCCGGGATCATGACCTGAACTGAAGGCAGACACTTAACCCACTGAGCCACCCAGGTGCCCCACGTTCATCAGATATATTAGATACGCTTTTTTCTTGAGTGGTATGTCAGATGCTTTTTATGCATCAATCAATAGGATCATGTGAGTTTTTCTTTTTAGCCTGTTAATATGGTGGACTGCATTAATTGATTTTCAAGTATTGAACCCACCTTGAAATTCTGTAATAAACCCCACTTGGTCATGGAATGTCATTCTTTCTAATATTGCTGAGTTCCATTTACTAATATTTTGTTGATGACTTTGTTGTGTCTGTGTTCATGAGGGACACTGATGTATAGTTTTCTGTTTTCTACTGTTATAGTCTGGTTTTGTTATTAGGTTAATACCAGCTCATAAAATGAAAGTATGGGGAAGTGTTCCCTCATCTTCTGTTTCCCAGAAAAGATTGTGGAGAATCGTTAATTCTTCAAGCATCTACTTGAATTCTGCCATGAAATCATCAGGGCCTGGAGATTTCATTTTTTAGGGATTTTCGAAAATTTACATGAGTAGAGTTGTTCGTAGTATTCTCTTATTATCCTTTTAGTGTTCCTAACTTTTTTAGGCATATTTTTAAATAGATTTCACAGAGAACCTTCAAATCAATACATTATTATAAGCCTGATGGAATATGCTGAATTTTTAAAACTTGGAACCTGATAGAATGCTGCGTGTGTACATTTAGCAGGTGTTTTTAGGCTCTAAGTCACAACTATGGATCACTTTGCTGACATCCATGTTAGGAAATGCCTACTAATTGGTGTTTATGTATTTACTGGTTTCTTTATTTAACTGTACAGTAAATGAATCAATACCAACAGGATTGAGTAACAAGTCTCAAGAGGGATGTAATCTGTCCCCTTCACACTTTTACTTTGTCAGCCATTTTGTTTGTGTGTATTACGGACTCGTGACTGCTCAGATATACTATCAACCTCTGCCAGTGTTCTGCTTTGATGTTCAAACTGTCACACTCAGTTTTGGCCAGCAGAACTTTAAGAAGACGTTTAAAACATTAGCCCCCTTTTAAATGAGTTTCCACGCCCCATCATCTCCATTCATCTGTGAACAGCTTGCTTTCTAGCACAAAATGATCCAGGCTAGTTTTATACCGTTCCATCTCAGACATGGGATTAACCCTTTCTCCAAAAAAGACTTGGTTCCTTTTATTGGAAAAATGGTATTAGAGACCAGAATCTTGGCTCGAGGGTACCTCATGGGGGTACTCTTGAGGCCGCCTTGATCTTCATAACTAGCATGATGATCTTCGATAGGTGTTCTTAAGTTCATATGACTGATTTACTAGCCCTCCTTGTGTATCTGTAACCTTACAGCCCTTTTTAGGAGGGGAATAAAAAAAAAAACCCCACATGTCATGGCATAGGAATTTTGTACCTCTTACACAACCCTCTCTCCCTCTCCCTCTGCCCCCCCCCGACACTCATGTTTGTGTGCTCTCTCTCCCTCAAATAAATCTTTAAAAAGTCATAAATGTAGGGGCGTCTGGGTGGCTCAGTCGTTAAGTGTCTGCCTTCGGCTTAGGTCATGATTTCAGGGTCCTGGGATCGAGCCCCGCATCAGGCTCCCTGCTATATGGGAAGCCTGCTTCTCCCTCTCCCACTCCCCCTGCTTGTGCTGCCTCTCTCATGTCTCTCTCTGTCAAATAAATAAATCAAAAATCAAAAAAAAAGTCATAAATGTAGAACTTTGATTTCTTAGAAGACTTTGGATAAACTTAAGTATTTATTACTTTAATGCTAATCCAGTTGAAACTGCCTAAAGCCAATTATGATATAAAGTATAATCAGTACATAAAAATCAAAATTTTTAAATAACTGGGAAATATGTTATATATTATACCTTTAAATCATATCCAAAATTTCAAGTGGAAATTTTTCCATAGGTTTACATTATTTTCAGATTGTCTGAATCCTGCTAGAATTGTTTCACAAAAGACCAATATGTACAATTATAACAATGTAATTGCAATACATTGCAATTTAAGTCCCATGTTTTACATCACAGTTACATAAATCTTAAGCTATTTAAAGAAGAAAATGCTTACCTGAAATCAAGCATGTCATGTCCTGACTTCTCCAACTATGCATTCTTCATTTGTCACTAAAACACAAAATTATATTCTTTAAAAATCAGTGTTTCTCCAACTTTAACATGCAAAGGAATCACCTGGTGATCATTGTAAAATACAGATTCTGACTTCAGAAGTTCTGGGCTGAGGCTCAATATTTTATACTTCTAACTTGCTCCTTGGTGATGCCCACGAGGCTGGTCCAGTGACCACACTGAGTAACAATGGACCAGATGTTGAGAAGAATTAGAATAGATGTAGTAACGGAACTGAGAAATATCCCTTTCAGCATGAAGGAAATGAATTAGAGAATCTACAGTTTCGTCTTGGAGGAACCAAAAGACCCTGCCTGGGTAGTTCTGGTCCAGGACAGAATACTGTCTGGGAGGGGATGAAGTTAAACAGCCAAGATCTGTTCTCCTTTAATATATATGTTAGTTCTACCTTGTGTAAAGTCCCCCATTAAAAAGGACCGTATGCTGGGAATGTAGAATGTCAGCACCTGAGGCAGAAAGTCTCGAGGTCAGACAGATGAGCGCACCCAGCCTGCAAAGTCGTTCCCTTCCACACCGCTGCTCCCGGTGTTAATGATAAAGTGACGGAGAGTTACCGCAGAGTCCTTGCAAGTAAAACGAATTTATGGAGCTGTCTGGCCGATCAAGAATTAATGGGTTGAATTTAGCAAAAGGTTTTGTCTCTCCCCACCACTTACAACTGCCAGGGTTTTCATAATTATTACCCAGTGGCCAGTAGGGAGCATGGAAATGAAACGAAGGTGCAAGCCTGTGCTGAATGTGAAAATCAACTGCGTTTAATGAAGCAAGGTCACTGGCTTCTGGAAAGTTTCAAAGTCACTCTTCCTATGTAACAGTATCTGATCTGTAGACATGGGTGACCTATCAGGTGGATGAATGGTAATTGTTCAAATATTAATATTTAAGGTACAGAGAAATGCACTTGATTTTTATCATAAACTGATAATTTGCTCATCTTCAATATATTTCACCAAAAGCAACACCGTTCTCATGAGCCTTCATGAAACATGTACAGGATGAAAGAAGTAATGTGACATTGGGAACATGCTTGTGTATCAGACCAGATTAGAGGCTGCACGCTGTCTGTATTCACAGCCACCATACACGGTGTCGTCATCCCCAGTTTTCAAATGAGAGAACAGAGACTTTAGGGAACTCATCAAATGTATACAGCTAGTAAATTACAGAGCTGGAATTTGCAGTCAGTGTGTGTGAGCTGCACAGGTCAGGGCTGGGGGAGAACAGGAGAGGTCTGGGGGATGTGATTCACACACTCGCTGCATTTCTACCCTCGGTCCTTCAGTATGCTCATCCCGTGCTCTCCACAGAAGTCCACAGCCTCTCAGCAGTGCTAGTATACCAGTAACCCCACCCCCATTAGCCAAGGGCCTTCAGAGGTCAGAGGTCCGGGAAGTCGATTGACAAAGCCCTGCGGACATGATGATCCTCGGGTATCACACTTTGCCTGGTATTGTTCTTGGTAACAGGTCACTTCTAGGGAAGTAACAGAAGTACTTGTCTCTGGAAGACTGCAGTTGAAATGCCCTTAGCTCAGTAATCGTGCTCCTGGGGCTACATGGGGCCATTTTCTGCAACTCTTCAGGCTGAGACTGGGAATATGACCCACAAGTAGTAGGAACCTGGGGTGCCTGTGTCAGGGGCTAGCGGGGACAGGAGCATCCCCCGCCTGTGTGATGCCAAGTGGCTTACTGTTAGCGTCCTTCTCCAGGCAAAAGTATTTTCTGTTATCACCATGTCATGGTCATCATTATCTTCCTAATTCACTCTTCTAAAGTCAATCATTAACATTTAAAAAGAATAAATTTCAATCTTAAAAACATCATTCAAATTCAGTAAAATATTTAATGTACAAACTAAAATCGGCTCTTTATTTTTATTTATTTCAGTCATCTCTGTACTCAGCGTGGGGCTGGAACTCACAACCCCAAGATCAAGAGTCGCACGCTCCTCCGACGGAGCCAGCCAGGCACCCCTAAAATCTGTCACCTTGGAGCTGTCACTGCCATTCACTGTCTAATTGATAACACAAGTGATCACAGGGAATGCCACTGTGAAGTAATGCAAGTTCCAGTCCGACTTCTCTGTCTTCACAATCACCGAGCTGCCACTGTTGGCCTCAGACGTACTGTCCAAACGTGGGAGCCCAGCACCTGAGCCGCATGCAGCCGTGCCTGCCCCAAGACCAGAGCTCCTGAGCCTGCGTGCTTGTCGCTGAGTGCTTGCAGGCTGGAACCAGCCGTGTCACTGGGAGGTCCACATAAAATGTAATGCTGTTAAAGATTTATAATAGGGGCGCCTGGGTGGCGCAGTGCGTTAAGTGCCCAACTCTTGGTTTGGCTCAGGTCCAGATCTCAGGGTCTTGAGGTTAAGCCCCGAGTCAGACTGTGCTCAGTGTGGAGTCTGCTTGAGATTCTCCTTCTCCCTCTGCCCCTCCCACTCATGCGCACTTAAAATAAAATAAATCTTTAAAAAAAAAAGATTTATAATAAAAATGGGTAACTACACCCACACACACACCCACACCCACACCCACACACACACAATTAAAACTCAGTATACCACAACTGGTTTAGGCCTAGACCAACAAGAAAGGTTTTTTTCTGGATAGTGCATTGATCACTGAGAACATTTAGAAAGTTTTAGTTTTATTATTATTTTAAAATCCCCTCAGAAAAGGCACCCCCATATTACCTGCACCAGGGCCAAGCTCCCACCACCTAGCCATTGGTATCATGGTTGGAGGTGGGCTGTGGGATGATGGACAGAACATGAAGTATTGAGTTGAGGAACTGACTCTTGTGGCAAACCACAGCTCATGCAGATTCTGGATGGACGTAACTTCTAGGGGCGACTATCTTAACCCCAGGACCTCAGGGCGTGAGCTGTAAGATCCTCAATGCAGCGGGTGATCCTTGTGCCCCATGCATGGCTTATAGGGGATGTAGTCTGGTGGGCTGCCGTCAGAGTGGCCGGGCCCATGGAGGGAACCCCTGCTCTGGGGTTCACCTCTCTTCCTTGACAAAAGGCAGCAAAATGAGCTTGCTAGCTTCTGCTCTCACCCAAATGCCCTGGATTCCTCGTCGGTGCTGATCTCCGCTTCAGACTGATAGCCAGAAGATTGGGGATCACGTTCCAGTTCCACAACTAACTAGGTGACTTTGGGCAAGTCATCAAAAACTCCTTGAGCCCGTTTCTCTGTCAAATAAACCTAAGGTCTGCCTGTTGACCTCACAGGACTGGGGTGGGAGTGAACAGAGTCACAGAAATGAAGCAGCATGGCCAGCTACTGCGGGGAGGGGTGTCCTCAAACCTGAGTGTGCTTCAGAACCACGGGGGTGGGGGGTGCTTGCTAAAACACACACTGCTGGGTTCCCCCCTCCCTCCTCACAGAGTTCGGATCCTGCTGATGTGGGGCAGGACCCAGAATTCCCATTCCTAACAAGCTCCCAGGTGATGGTTTTGCAGCTGGTCTGAGGGCCCCACTGTGAGAACCGTGACTTAGGTTTACCAGGATGGGTGCTGGACGGGGTTGGAGACCTGGCTGCACCCTGCCTGTCTTCACGGCTACAGGCAAAGTACTTGATCACTCGAAATCTCGGCTTTCTCAATGGTAAACAAGATGACCTACATGAGGGTCAGATATGGCTGTGTGTATACAGTACTTAGCGTAGTGCCTGGGACATCGTGCCGGCTTCCTGAACGTCCGTTCTGTGTACAGAGTGATTCCGTGGTGTCTGCACACAGCAAGGTGCTAACAAACAAATGTGCTACTTCTGAAGCAAGGGACGGCTTCAGACTGTTACCTATCCCAAATTACACATTTTGGGAACTCCTAATGTGTTTTACAGAAGCATGTTACAGACTGGTAGAAATTTTGACTCAAAAACTTCAATTTGCAGGAAAAATGTAAATTGGAATTACAAGCACACAGTTTGTATTATTTTTCATGTGTTCCTGTGTTGATCTATAATTATCTTCTAGGTCAGAAGTTCCTAGGATTTTGGCCTCAGGACTCTTTGGACTTTTGAAAGTTACTGAAGGCCTTGAAGAATTTTTTTATAGGTTATGACTATTGATATTTACCGCATGCAACATAAAATGGAGAAAATTTTTAAATTACTCATTAAAACAATAAACCCATTTCAAGTTAATATGTTATCTTATTAAAAATAACTATATTCCCCGCCCCCAAAGCAAGAAGAGTAGCACTGATTTACCTTTTGCAAATGTCGGTAATGTCTGGCCTAGAGGACACGCCTCTCTTCTTTTCCTTTAGATTTACTGCTTTCTGCATGCATGTGTAACTCAAGGAGTACATGTTTTCATTTTCGTTGTTTTTAGATTTATAAGAAGGATGTCCTGTCTCTACTCGGGGACTTGCTTTATTCACTTACTATCATATTGCTAATAATTATTCATAATTGTGTGTGTCAGTGAAACTTAGTTCACTCATTTTGAATGCTGTCGAGTCTCACTTTCTGGGTCAGTGCTCAGTACCATATTGAGAATGGGCCAGTGTTTGCCAGGATAGGTAAAGTCACATACACTTGGAGCCAGAGATTAAGAAAGAAAAGATTTTCAGATGAGTGGTTAATGAAACACCGGAAGAAACAGTTTTGGAATTAGAGAAAGCCGCATGGGCGATTTTCTCACTGTGCTCAGATAATTCTAACCTACAATTTTAGAGGGATGACGAGTGCCCTGTGATAAAAGACCACAGCCAGCCACTTTACATGGAAAAACAAGTCCCAAGTGGGTCTGACCCCAGGATCAAGCCAGTGGGAGGGGTAGCAGCTGTGGGCCAAACTGACAGGGGCCAGCCTCCTTCCTCCCCAGGGGAACACTGTGCTGCAGCTGTGTCTATACCCTGTACTACTGTCAACATTTCAGAGTGGACTGACCATCCCAGCTCAGAGTTTTAGAGTGAAGACTTTTGCTTTTGGCCCACTACCCTGATCTACTTCCACTCAGCCTCCTAACCTGCAATCAGGTCTTCCGGTGCCATCTGTGTCCATAACCGAACCTATTGTCAACTGGAAGGGACGGGCTAGTGATGTCTCTGAAGAAAGCAAGTCTAGAAATAAATTGTCCAAGGTCTAGCCTGAGCTCACTGAGAGGCCCATGGCACTCCGAGGCCTTGAGTGAAGACAGAACGAACTGCAGTAGAAAGAGGGGCTGTGGTCATCCCGAGAGCAGTGGCCAGGGCATCTCTGGGTTTCATAGCTACACGAGAAGAGATAAGCATGATCAATCATTAATGATTTTTAAGGGCAATTTTTAAATTATTGTTTAAGCTTATTTATTTTTTCAGTAATCTCTACACCCAACATGGGGCTCGAACTCATAACCCAGAGATCAAGAAGCCCACGCTCTTCCAACTGAGCCAGCCAGGTGACCCCAGGACAATTTTTTTTAAAGAAGCTATCTTGGAGTGCAATAAAAATAGGAATGAGGAATGGACTTTAGCCAATTTAAATTTAAATGAGGAAATTTGAAATTTTTTAAATGGATGTTCTTTGAGTTCACAGACAAGCACACACCTGACCACACCGGTCTGTCTCCCCTTTGCTGTTCCTTCTTCCTTCTCTCTGCCCAATGCATGTGAACGAACTTTCTGTCCTTCAAAACCATATCCCGGACCCCCTAGGCAGTCTCACTGTCCGCCCGCACTTCTCAAACTGGTGGCTTTGCACTGTCGTCGCCTCGTTCCCGTGCGCATCTCGGCGGTTCCTCTCCGTGCTCAGACTGTCTTACTCAACCCTGCATGCCCCGGGCTTGGGCAGCGCGCAGTAGGTGTTCAGTAAGGTTTGCCCAGCTGAACACCTAGAGAAAATTAAGTCGTTTAAAGTTAATTTGAAAAGCAATACTTGCCAGTGGACAGGACTTTTCAAAGAAGTTGTTTTGCGTACAGAGCAAAAAGTCAAATATCGGGCAGAATTCTAACAAATCGCCTTTACGACTAAATTTCCTCCCTGGTTCCCAGTGCATTAGGCTTTGACATCCTGCTGGTCACGCACCCACGTGGGTGGAGCGCTCCCCTTCCCTCCGGCCTCGGCTCTCTTTTTCATCGCAGAATGCCAGTCCTTCCGGCCTCTTACGACAGTTAGGAGGCAAGCCACCTATTTCTTTGGCTGGACAGCCCCGACTGCACACAAAGGGCCCGGGACAGCCCCCCAAACCGCTGCGAGGCCGAGGAGGAGCGAGAGAGGAGCCTTTAGCGGTCCCTCCTGCCCACACCGCCCAGACCCCGCCCCTCGCGCGACTCCTCCCCAGACCCCGCCCCCCACAGGCACGGTCCTGCCCCTCATTCGGCCCCCGTCCCGCCCACATCACCCTGGCCCCGCCCCTCTCCCGGCCCTACCCGGACCGCACCGCCCAGATCCCTCCCTTCACGAGGCACCGCCCCTCCTATACCGTCCAGACCCCGCCCCTCACGCCGCACCTCCCTGCCTACACCGCCCAGACCCCGCCCCCCGGGGCCGCCCCGCCCCCCCCGCCCAGGCCCCCGCCCCTCACGCGGGCCCTCCCTTCCAGCCCCGCCCTAGTCCCCACCCACCTCCGTAGGTCCCGCCCCTCCCGGGACGACCCAGGCCTGACTTTCTCCCTGACTTCCGGGAAATCGAGCCGGAAAAGCGCAGGGTACTAGGCCCCTGGGCCCCGCCCCGCAGGGCTTGCGGGGACGCGCGTCATTTCCCCGCGCCGCCGCCGGAAGTTGGGTCTGTGTGGTGGTGGCGCGAGCCGGGAATTAAGGAGCTCGGCGATGGCCAGCTGTGAGCGATGACCAGGCTTCTGGCCGTGGCGCGCAGAGTTGCTTTGGTCGCCGTGCGCTGCAGCACCCACGGCAGTAGCGGTCTCAGCATGTTTTATGCCGTGAGGAGGGGCCGCAAGGCCGGGGTCTTCCAGACCTGGTGAGTGGGCTGCTACTCCTCAAGGTTGGGTTCAGGGCGGCCGCAGGCGGCTCTCCGGACTGGCCCAGAGCTCGCGGCTTGCGGCCTGGGGTGGAGCGCGTGGGAGCCCCGCCGCCGGCCGGGCAGTGGGAACCCCGGGCCGGCCGCCGCGGATCTCTGCTGACGAGGGCTTGCTGGCCCCGTCCGCAGGCTCCAACGCGGTTTCATTTTTGTTGGCAATATCAGAAATGCCACATGTAGTTTAAGGATGGCCAGGGGCCTCAACTTAACCCTTCCTTTTTGTTTCAGGGAAAGCATTTCCAAATGGTTACACATAGTCAAACTCTGATAATACCTGACCTAATCTTCCCTGTGTTTTTAAAAAGGGAAATTCTTATAGACTAAATCTGGGTCCCTGTAACGGCCCTTTGAGGTGGGTTTATTATTTTCAGGTGTAGTTACTGTGGTCAGGAAGTTCTTGGGGTTAGTAAGTGACACAGGTAGGACTTGTATCCACGTGTGCTAATTCCACGAGCAGGACTCTCCCCGCCCTATGGTAGCAGGGTTTATTGTCTGTGTGTGTGCGGGCACTTGTTTCCCTTTGTAGCTATGCTACTGAGGCAGAAGCGTCGCAGCAGCTCACCTTAGCTGTAATGAAATGATTGATAGGATTTCCTTTTTCTTTTTTTTTATTAAAAATTTTATAAATTGACAGAGAGAGACAGCGTGAGAGGGAACACAAGCAGTGGGAGTGGGAGAGGGAGAAGCAGGCTTCCAGCTGAGCGGGGAGCCCGATGCGGGGCTGGATCCCAGGGCCCTGGGATCATGACCTGAGCAGAAGGCAGTCACCTAACCAACTGAGCCACCCAGGCGCCCCAGGATTTCCTTTTTCAAAGACCCCAAATTTCTAGTATGTTTTCAGATTGGGGAAACTGACGTGCTGGTGTACTGTCTGGCTGCTACACAGCACCACAGGGTGAAGGGTTGGGCAGGAAACAAAATTACAAGCAGCCGTGACCGTTTGTCCAGTTGGAGCTGACAGCCCCAACCTTTTTCACACTATTCCCAACCTAAGAAAGGAATCTTAAAAAGAGGATCAGTAAGGGAGGAAGGAAGTAACATCGCACTCTGTTCCAGGAGCGAATGTAGAGCCCAGGTGGACCGGTTTCCTGCTGCCAGATTTAAGAAATTTGCCACGGAGGAGGAGGCCTGGGCCTTTGTCAGAAAGCCTGCAAGCCCAGATGGCTCAGAAGGTAGTCAACTGCTCTTATCACTATGGCGTTTTAACCTGTTCAAAACCTTGCATACCCCAGTGTCACTTGATCTTTATAGCTGTCTTCTAAACAGAGGATGTGATGATTGTTTCCATTTTTCTATTTTACAGATGAGGAAACAGGCAGAAAGTAGTTTAGCTTAGTGGTTTCTGTTAGTAACAGTATTAGAGATAAGCTGGGACTCCAATCTGATGTTCATTTGGAGTCCTCACTCTATTCAATTCTATGTTTTATTTATTTTTATTTTTTATTTTTAACTATATTTTTTAAGATTTTATTTATTTGTCAGAGAGCGAGCGCACAAGCAGGGGGCAGTAGGCAGAGGGGGAAGCTGGCCCCCCGCTGAGCAGGGAGCCAGACATGGGGTTCCATCACAAGACCCTGAGATCATGACCTGAGACGAAGACAGATGCTTAACCAGCTGAGCCACCCAGGGGCCCCTAATTCTTTTAAAAAATACTTGTTCTGTTATCAAATTGAATGGGCTACAGTTTTAAAGTGATGAATGTAGTTTGTTTCCTGGCATGCACCTGTATGGTGTTTCCTTCTTGTTTAGGACAGGGTCACACAATCAGAATTTCCTACAGTTTCACATGTTGCAGAAAGTATAATTAATTGAAGCTTAAGTCCCAGTATAAGGAACATCAAGTATGCAGAACTAAGGGTGACTGCTTGAGAGCACAAAATTTTTAAAATATAGTTAACCCTTGAACAACAGTGAGTTTGAGCTGCGTAGGTAAACTTATATGTGGACTTCATTAAATTACATTTATCATATAATACACATTATAAATTTTCCTTAGGATTTTTTTTTCTTAAGATTTTATTTATTTGTCGGGGAGAGAGAGAGAGAGTGAGCACAAGCGGGGAGAGGGACAGGCAGAGGGAGAAGCAGGCTCCCTGCCAAGCAAGGAGCCTGATGTGGGACTCGATCCCAGGACCCTGGGATCATGACCTGAGCCAAAGGCAGACGCCCAACTGACTGAGCCACCCAGGTGTCCTTCCTTAGGATTTTAACATTTTCTTTTTTTTTAAGAATTTTATTTATTTATTTGAGAGAGAGACAGTGCAAGCATGAGCGGGGGGAGGAGCAGAGGGAGAAGGAGAAGCAGACTCCCTGCTGAACAGGGAGCCCAACATGGCTCGATCTCAGGACTCCAGGATCATGACCTGAGCCAAAGGCAGACATTTAACCAACTGAGCCACCCAGATGCCCTTAATAACATTTTCTATTGTCTATTACTTTATTGTAAGACTACAGTATATAAGACATATATAAAATACGTGTGAATCAACTGTTCACATCAGTAAGACTTCCAGTTAACAGTAGGCTATCAGTAGTAGTTAAGTGTTTAGGGAATCAGAGATTATACTCAGATTTTCAGCTGAGCAGGGCGTCAGACCCCCATGTTGTTTGGGGGCAATCTGTATATCTAACCTATTTTGAAGAAGTTGTGTCTCATTAGCTGTACTCACAAATATTTTTACTAGTAGATTAAGATGAGAGAATAGTTTGAATCCACTTTTTTCGAGCAGGCTCTCTACAGTCCCACTGAGATGCTCAAGCTTTGAACAGCTGCTCCTTTGGGAGGCCATAACAATTGCAGTCAAAGCAGAATTCAGGGCGAGGTAATCATGCTTAGGAATCTGCCCTGCCTGACAAGTTTCTGAAGCAGGGCAGAACCTCACTCACTGTGCATCTGCTTCATGCTGTCTCCCAAGCAGCTTTTAAGGAGGTTGTGATGTGACTGATACATTTTCTGCCCTGATGGAGAAATCAGTTTGGGACAGAAAACAAATGTGCAAGTATGGCTCTTTTCTTAGTTGGGTTCCTAATGCTTCCTTTTCACTGCTCTTTTGTTTTAACCAAATAGTAATTTATTCATACTTCAATTCTTCCAATAGAAGAATAGAAGTATGTTTCTGTTTATTAAATACTCTAAATCCTAAGGCAAGATTGTTCTTTATATCTGTGAATCACCTTTCTTAAAAGTTTACAGAGACCTCCAAGTTAGTGACTTATATATAGAAATTGGAATTTGACATCTTTAATGTTCAAGAACTCTGTCAAAGCAAAAGTGTTAGCCCCTTTCCCAAATTTTCTCTTAATGTGACATATATTTTTATTTTGGGATTCTTGAGCTATTTGGCAGTTACCATGATTTGTGTAAACTGATTTGGGGTTAACTTAACCCAGTTTTGTGAAGGGAGAATTATCTGACAGCCATGGGCTCCTTTTCCTTCCAAGTCTTATCTGTCCTTTAAAAACTTTCATTCCAATTTAACTTTCTCTGTTACTACAAGTAAAATCAATATTTGTATTGATATTAAACTTCTACAAAATTACCCTTTGACTTGTACTTGTGTTTTTGGGTTTACTTATGTAAAGTCCCTAGAGGAATATTTTTTCTTTTTAAAAATTTTACTTATTTATTTGAGATAGAGTGAGAGAGAGAGAGCACAAGCAGGGTGAGGAGGGAGAGGGAGAAGCAGGCTTCCCACCGATCAGGGAACCTGACGCAGGACTCCATCCCAGGACCCTGGGATCATGACCTGAGCCAAAGGCAGTCTCTTAATCCATGGAGCCACCCAGGCACCCCCCTAGAGGAATATTTTAAAGGTAAATACAGCAGAGTGGAAAACCAAACATTGCTCTCCATAATGGCTTCACTCAGATTTTGCCTAGATAACCTTTAGCAGTCTTCTGACAGGTGTGGGTGGAGAAGCTACACCAGGCAGGGCATTCTGGCTTGGACCCATGTGGTAGGTGTTCAGTCAACATTGGAGCCCCATTTCTCCATCCCTGGTTCAGGGATGAGGTTAAAGTGAACTCTGTAGTGTTGGGCTTTGTTGTTATTTTGGAAATACAATTAGTTGCTCCTTCTGTGCCCCTATTCCCACTCCATAAAATGAGAATGTAGGAAAAGCTGCTCCCACATAACCTGAGAGAGTGTGTGAGAAGCCTTTGGGATGAATCCTGCGTCCCCTGGCTGAGCTCCTGAAGGAAAGCTCTGCAGCTACTGCCCTGAATGGACCCAGTCCTTTCTGCTGTTTGGTTTCTACTTTCCTTTCTCAGTGTAGCCCACTGTCTGTTTACTTAAGGTCCAGTTACCCGTGCCCTCTCAACTTCCCCGGAGGTTCTCAACTTGGCATTGATGGAGTTGAAGTATCTAGAGTAGTAATAGCTACAAAATTCTAGTCCTTGTTTTCTTTCTGGGTTAAGAGTCCCTCAGATTGTCAAACTACCCACCATCCCTGTAGGATTCAAAACCTTTGGTATCTCTACTACCTCTGTCAAAACCAGACTTCTACTTTAATAGAAACGTTGTCTTATCTTCATATTGTCCTTAATCAAGCTTATGGAACAGTAATTTCATAGAACATCAAAATCTGACACGGTGTGGACCGTCTTAAGTCATGTCCTCTATAGGGCCACAGACAAAGTGTATGTAAGTCTGATTTAGTGATACTAAATCACTTACTGAATTTCTGGATTCTTAGCATTTCGTGTTATGTTTGTTTTTTCCGGGTTTATGAGTAGACTTGACCTTTCAGGGACGGAAAATAAGCATGAACAGGAATCACAGGTGAAAGTCAGCAGGCGACTCCGTGAGCCCTCGGATGGAGAGGAAAACGCAGAGCCCTGTGCGAAGCATGCGAGACAGAGCACAGAATCCGTGCCTTCAGCCAACAAGGACACGTTTTCTTACATGGGTATATCTCTCTTGGATTTTTAAATTTTCCATATAATTATCATGAAAATAAGTGTAAGAACTTTTCCCACTTAATAGGGGAAAGTTGAGCTAATGTTTAGCCTTCTCATTCTCATCTGAAAAGGTTATTTAAAAATTTCTAAGGTTACTATTTTATAGTTGATCAAACTGTGCAGAATTATTAAAACTCTGGACATTTATCAGAAAAGCATTATGTGGCCTGCAAGTGAAAAACATAGTAATCTTTTGAAACCCTAGTATTCTCTTGTGCACACAGCATTTCAGGTCACTATGAGAAAATGCAGAGGCTTCAGCTTCTTCAAATAAGAAAGGGCCTGGAGGGCACCTGGGGTGCTCAGTTGGTTAGGCATCTGGCTCTTGGTTTGTGCTCAGGTCGGGACCTCAGGGTCAAGCCCCCATGTCAGGCTCAGTGTTCAGCAGGGAGTCTGCTTCCCCTCACCCTCTGCCCCTCCCCTGCACATGTGCTCATGCGCTCTCTTTCTCTCTCTCAAATGGATAAATAAATCTTTAAAAAAGAAGAAGTAAGGGCCAGACAGAGCTCTTTTTTAGAACCAGTATCTTCTATACCATTTACATTTAGCCTTTGCAAAACATAAATGATTTTACCCAGTCCCGAGAAGCAAAAGAGTCTGAATTTTTCCTCTACCTTTAACTCCAGGGATAGGTTTATATTTAGTGACTTATGGTATATAAATTTCCTTTTTGTTTTTTACACGTATGAACAGAAAATAGGAGTAAGCTTTTTTTTTTAGTAAGTAGGATTTTTAAATAAATCAGTGTGTTTGTAGGTTCCAAGTTTTCTCCAAGAATAAGCTGTCTTATAATTCAAGGAAAACCAATAGAAAATGTTTTTTGTTAAGCTGTATTAAAACCGTATAAATCAATTTTGCAGTTACTTAAAAAAAAACATTCTGGATTTGGTTACTTGCCAGTAGTAATCAGAGCACATATGTGTGGAGTGATTGGGTGATGAGCCATTTCTAAGGTACTAACAGTGGCTTGAAGTACAGTGGCATTTAACGCAGTGCCTGATAGGTTGAGACCGAATTCAGTGACCAGAAAGGCTGTTGTGTGGATGGTGTCAATTTCGGTTGAACCAAGGATTCTTGTCCAACACCCATGTTTTCCACACTCCCATCCGCATTCTGGCTAGGAACGTGTTCTTTAACATCCTCCCTCCTCTTCCCTTTGCCTCTGCCTTGTCCAGTCTGTAATCCTTTTGAGAAACAGCGCAATGCCTCTATTTGCCCCCATGGCCCTACTCTTCAAGATCTGCCAACCTGACCTCTCCTGCCCCCTTGCTAAGAGTGTTCTAGTCATCAGTGGCCTTAGAGTGGCCTCATATCAGATCTCTTCTACCTACTTCTTTACAGCATTGGTATGTTGGTCAGACCCTCTGTCTTTTTTTTTTTAAGATTTATTTATTTGACAGGGAGAGAGAGAGTATAAGCAGGGGGAGCAGCAGAGGGAGAGGGAGAAGCAGGGTCCCTGCTGAGCCCGACTGGGGGCGAGGGGTGGGGCCGCTGGCTCGATCCCAGGACCCTGGGATCATGACGTGAGCCAAAGGCAGACGCTTAACCGACTGAGCCACCAAGGTGCCCCTGACCCTCTGTCTTGATGGAAAGAAGCAAAGACAGGACCATAGTTTACTAACAGCAAATATACTAAGAAAAAAAAAATTAGACCAACATTTGTCAGAGGACTAGACCTTCTGGTGGACAGGTCCTTATCATGCCAAGGAACTGCTTGTTTGCCAGGACAGCTCCTGGGAGTGAGTGTGAGCCCTGCCCCCCACGGGGAGAGGGGTGGTGGCACCGTTCTGACCTCTGTAGTGGGGGAGGCAGCAGCGGCTCTCACTGCAGGGGGTTCTAGGTTCACAAAATGACTGCTTTTACCCTTAATTTGCCTGTCATGCAGAACCGAAATAGGAGTGCATGCTAATCAGAAAGGGTCAAGGACCCCTGTGTAAGGAATCGATAATGTTTTCCTGGACAGAAAATAGAGATCCCATTGCACAGTACTTGGTCAGTTTAAAATGTGAATGCGGGCTTACTGAATTGGGTGCTTTGGATGCAGTGGCACTCAGGAAGTCCCCTCTTCCAGGAGAGTTTGTCGTTGTCTACACTGACGGCTGCTGCGTCAGCAACGGGCGGAGGAGGGCACGAGCAGGGATCGGCGTTTACTGGGGGCCGGGCCATCCTTTGTGAGTAAACAAAGTGAATCGCATTCTAAAACTTGTCAAGGAGAGACGCAAGGGCCTCTGACTGTTTGGTTAGCTTTGGCAGAGGGAGCGCAGGACCGAGTCATGTCGACACTGACAGCTTTGTTCTTCAGGATTAAAAGACCCCGCATTGCTTTCTTCACCCTGGATCTTGACGAGTCTCTGTGTCCCACTGATGACATCTTCTACCAGAATGACTTCCCTGCCCCCTAGGAGAGTCACAGGTCTCCTGTGGGATGGTTTTGGCAGGGATGTCCAAGGTCACCAGGCCTGGAACCTGTCATGTCCCCACGACTCTTCTGAGGATGTGTGAGCTTAGAGGTGACTCCTAGTTTTTCACCAGGCACAAGGCCAGGGTGATGCAAAGTGTGATCATTCAGATACACTGGGCAGCCTAAAATTCAGTGTAAAAGAGGGATTTGAGCCTGTGAAGTAGCCACATCAGTGCTGAGCTTTGTCTCCAGCATTTGCAGGTGCCCACAGCAGTGTTGGGCATAATGTAACATAAACTGTTCAGTAACAGTAAGACTTTATATTTCTCTCGACTTGTGGTCTACGAAGTTCTTTCCCTTTGATATCTCATTTTAGCTTCAAACACTGTAAGAGGTGGCGAGCTTGTGTGGTACTGAGTGTCTGCGGGCTTAGTGCTCACCCAAGACCACACGCTAATGTATTTCAGGGGCAAAAATAAAAGTTTGCTTTTGAATTCTGGTCCAGTATTCTTCACAAGACCATCCCATGGTGCTTTTCCGTAAAATGTTAGTGCTCTTGGTTTGATTTTTAAAGACTGTATTTTTGTATGATGCTTTCATATGTCAAAAAAGTGTATCAAGCCTATCGTCCATTGAGAAGCTTAAGGAATCACTTTGAGAATTAGCTCTTTTAATTGATTTCATTTTCCTTTGTCTTGTTTTGAAACCAGGAACGTAGGCATTAGGCTTCCCGGGCGGCAGACCAACCAAAGAGCAGAAATTCATGTAAGTTGTCAGACACATTTCCCACTGAGAGTAAGTGCATCATAGCAGTGACCTGTGTACACCCTGTGTGCACAAGATACTCAGAGTCCAGAAGAAACTTGGTTTGGGGTTACTAATGACTCTGACGGATAGGAATTTTCCAGAAAAATTTTAAAAGTTACTTCAAATATGTGTGCAAGCAAAACTGTATGTGTAGCATTATTTCACACAGAGCATATAATCATTACAGTTAGCTCAGAAAAAGAATGTTTAAATGGTGAAGTGATTTTGAACATCATTAATGTTGAACGTTGAACAGTTTCTATAGCATGATGACTGACTCGTTTCTTCAAGGCAGCCTGCAAAGCCATCGAGCAAGCAAAGGCTCAAAACATCAAGAAGTTGGTTCTATATACGGACAGTATGTTTACTATAAATGGTAAGCTTTTACATTTTACTTCTTCTAGTGTTTTTCTAGTAAACATAAAGGAAAATAGGTCTTTCCTTTCCCTGTAGGAGGTATTGTATCAGGGCAGGACCCAAATGGTAAATGAGGACAGTAGTTGGTTTGTTGGGTATAAAGAGAAAGGTGGGGATTCTGGAGCTCAGTTCTGCTGCTCTGGAGTTTGCCACATAGACATGTCTTTGCCAGGCTCCTAAGATAGGGCAGCAGGATAGATATGTCCCTGCTCTCGTGGTCCTTCGAGTGTAAACATGCATGAGTAACTTAAGGTGGCGTGCTGATGGCTCCTTTGAGAAATAATCATGTTTAGGACACGGGGAGGGGGGTTGAAGAGGCGGAGGAGGCGTCCTCTTAGGCTGGGAGCTGTGGGTCAACCCCAGTCCAAGCAAAGGGACAAGCAGAGGAGTGTGCCGGGTCTGCACTTCCTGTCAAGAGTACAGCCTTTGTGGGCCAGTGGCAGGCCCACCCGCCACCTTGAAGATGAGTAGAGCGGGTAGAAGAGGGAAGCCTAGGGAGGAGGAGAGCAGGACGTTCAAGCTCCGTGGGCTGTGAGTGTGCACTTCTTGTAGGTATCACTAACTGGGTTCAAGGCTGGAAGAAGAATGGGTGGAAAACAAGCACAGGGAAAGAGGTGATCAACAAGGAGGACTTCGTGGCGCTGGAGCAGCTCACCCAGGGCATGGACATCCAGTGGGTGCGTGTTGTCTGAACCACTCCCATCACGTGGCTGTGAGGACCAAATACTCGGAGAGGGGAGAGAGAGAAGGTGGGGGAGGGGGGCACAGAGAGAGAATCTTAAACAGGTCCCACACCCAGTGTGGAGCCCAGTGTGAGGCTCTATCTAGCGATCCTGAGATTGTGACCTGAGCCAAAATCAAGAGTTGGACGTTTAACTGACTGAGTCACCCAGGTGCCCAGGACCAAATATTCTAAATTAACTGGAGAGATTAGTGCTTTCTGTAAGTGATTTAATGACTTAAGTTAAAGTAACCGTTTACATGAAATTAATATCATAGTGTGTATTAGAAATTGGAACACATTTGAGTCTTGACTACCGTATAAGTAATGCTGCTTATCATTGGTGTGATTGTGTGTAGAACACACTGTTGGGGCAGCGTGACTGAGGGGTGTTCAATATTCCTCACATTGTCTTGGCGGTGCTTAGGAGTGCCTCGTCTGGGCTCACCTTGTTGCAGGATTTCTTTTTCTTTAGTGCCCACGGGTGTGGTCATGCCACTTTGAAGAATGAAGAGGTAGACCAGATGAAGAGTGGTGGGCAAGAAAGCAAAGTTTATTGAGTGATAATACAAAGCTCCCGGGGAGGGAGGGGACCTGAGAGGGTTGCCACGAGAGTTTCTAAGTCTAGGGGTTTTTATGGGCTTGTTGGCGGGCTGTTTTAATCTGATTAACCCTCCTTGCGCCTGTCACCCAGTCAGGTTTTTGTCATCTATCACGTGGGAAAGGGTGGAAGGCTCCTTCCAGGGTGGTGTAAAATCCTTTTAATGGTTGTTTCCTCTTGGTGGAGGGCAGGGGGCTTGTCCCTGCCCACCTTTCTTCCCACTATTCTTCATTAACCTCATCACTATTAAAGTGACTTCATGATAGTCAACCTGTTGGTTTCTTTGGAATCAGCCATAATGTCAAAATAAAACTAATTTCCAAGGTATTTTGTTAAAAATGAAGTGTGATAAGACTTTAGTAACATGACTTTTTTTTCCAAAATGGAAATATTTTTCTTATTAATAGATAGTTTTTATTAAAACTTTTTTCAGGGGGTGCCTGGGTGGGCTCAGTCGAGTGTCCGACTCTTGGTTTCGACTGAGGTCATGATCTCAGGGTCCTGGGTTCGAGCCCTATGTTGGTCTCCTGCTGAGCGGGGAGTCTGCTTCTCTCCCTCCCACAGCCCCTCCCCCCTGCTCATGCTCTCTCGCTCTGTCTCTGTCAAATAAATAAAATCTTTAAAAAAAAACTTTTCAAACAATACAGAGCAAATTAAACTGCAGCCATTTCTTAACCCTATATTGCTCTTCCGCCTTAGGACCACTGAGAACAGCTTGGTAATGTAAGATTTAAATCTGCCCTTCAGCAATGTAGATGTAAACAGTGGTTAAATCACAGAAGTACACACCTGGGTGGCTCAGTGGTTAAGCGTCCGACCCTTGATCTCAGCTCAGGTCTTCATCTCAGGGTTGTGGGATCAAGCCCCTCATTGGGGATCTACTCGGTGTAGAGCCTACTTAGTAAAAAAAACAAAAACAAATCACATAAGTATATCTTCTCTTTCTGACAGCACTTAAAGTATGTGCATTGGATATATATTTGTCCCCCTCTATACATACGTATGTTTTACCTGGAAAGCTTTCCAAGTCCCATCATTAAGGTGGAAAAAATCAATAAAAACAGTACAGTTTGTGGAAAATCAAAATGGGATTTCTGTAAATGCCTGCATTGCAACAGTCCACTGGGCATACATGTTGTGCCATTTATAACTGTCGGGGGGAGGGGCGTTCTCCCACTCCGCCCACTGGGAAGTCAATGAGGATGTACTTGTGTGTTGCGTGTGTGAAAAATCAGTAAAGATAAAAGGAAAAAAAATTTATTTAACAGATGCATGTTCCTGGTCATTCGGGATTTACAGGCAATGAAGAAGCTGACAGATTAGCGAGAGAAGGAGCTAAGCAATCTGAAGACTGAATGAAGTAATTTTAATTCTTGGAAAAACTTGAGTGAGTGACTGTTTTCTTACCATTCCTTACTGGTGTGAAAAATAAAATTTGCAGTAGATGGGCAGAAACAACTTGCAAAAGTAAATCAGTCATTCTGTGATATCCTGTGATAAAAAGTCATTAAATTATAATAAATTGAGCATCCTTCGAGATTTGAGCATTATTTGAAATTTCAGCATTATGCTTTATTGGGTTTGACACTGTTCTCATTAGTTTTATTGTAGTCTGGACAGAAATTTTAGGACTTTTAATAAGGCATGAATACAGTAGTGGTTTAAAAATGCAGACAAGGTCTGGAAGCGTTCTGAAAGTGTTCATTTATCTTCTAGTTGGCAGGATTGAATCTCAGAATGTTCAGGTTGACTTGTACGTACCCGTGGATTAGAGCAAGGCAGTGCTCCCTTGGTGGCTACAGCCCATGCCAGGGCCCACGCCTCAGCCAAGGGAATGCGGGCTGAGCCTTAACTGGAGAGCACCCTTGTACAAGGCAAGCCCGCCCATAGCCCTGGCTGCTTGACTGTTGTATAGAAACATCTTACAGGCAAGATGCATAAATCTTTTAAAATGTCTTTGGCTGTTTTTGTTAAAAGCACTATGCAAGCTGGGGCCCCTGAGTGCCTCAGTTAAGCGTCCAGCTCTTGATCTCGGCTTAGGTCTTGATCTCAGGGTCATGAGTTCAAGCCCCACATTGGGCTCCATACTGGGTGTGGAGGAGCCTACTTTAAAAAAAAAAAAAAAAGCACTATGCAAGTTAAAGTTTGATATGATCATTTTTTTAAGATTTTATTTATTTGAGAGAGAGAGAGCCCAAGCGGGGGGTGGGGGTGGGGGGAGAAGCAGACTTCCCCGCTGAGCAGGGAGCCCAACATGGGGCTCGATCTCAGGGCCCTAGGATCATGACTCGAGCCGAAGGCAGACACTTTGACCGAACCATACAGGCGCCCCAATTTTTTTTTTTACTATTTTATCATAAAAAGGTACAGAAAATGACACGAATGTTTAGCTCATTGAGTTTCATTACTATAAGGTGAATACCCTTATGACCACCACTCAGGGCAAGAACTAGAACTTTGCCAGACACCCCAGAAGCCTCTCCACGTGCTCCTCCAACCCCAGACCCTCCCTCCCTCCAAAGTGAATCCTGACTTTTATAGAAATGACTTCTTTGTGTTTCTTTATGGCAATTGAGCCTCGCCTACTTTTTTTTAGACACGGTATTTCTGAGGTCTCTTTAGTGCATGTATTGGTCTCCTTGTAAGGTTTACCTATTGAGGAACCTGGGCCATTTGTCCTATTGGTTCCCAGAGTCTAGATTTGCCACACGCATTCTCCTGGCACAGTCCAGCATTTTCTTCTTGCCTCTGTACTTCCTGCAAATTGGCAGCTGGATCCAGAGGCTTAATCAGAATCAGGTGCCACACCTTCGGCGAATGATAGATGGCCACGTGGTTTCATCAGCGGGCATAGGCTGTTTGCATTTTTCTGGTATTGGCGGCTGCTGGTGCTCAGTGCCTAGGTCCGTTAATGATTCAGAGGTTCCAAAATGGTGATATTCTGTGATTTTGCTTATATTTATTGGCTGGGATGGTTTTAGAAGAAGATGCTTCCTCTCGTCTGCTGTTTGGTTACCCAGTGGTAGTGTTCATTTAGGAAAGCAGGATAAATGCAAAGCAAATTAGTTCCCTATCATCTTTAGAAGGTGGCCACTTAAGGTTTTTTTATTTATATGTTTTTATAACACTTATGTGTCATGAACTCATCTACTTAAGCCTGTTGGATAGGTTTCAGGTCATTGCAATTTTTATCTTTATTGAACCCAAATTGTAGCTTCTAGGGCTTGTAGGAGGGGGGGCTCTTCAGGTTGGCTCTTTATTTCTTTTGATACTCATGTATGCACACACATGCACTGACCACACCTGTACACAGGTGTACACCATAGGCTCACTCACAGTCCACACATGCGCACAACATACATGTACAGACCATGCACGCATGTGCACCTAGTCATCAGTAGCTCCATTGCGGTCTGGTGTGTCAAGGTACTCTAGACCTTCTTGTACTTTTCCTGCTCCAAATCTGGAATTGCCTATTTCTCTAAGAATCTCTAGTTTCTTTCTTTCTCTTTCTTTCTTTCTTTTTTAAGTTACATAAGCTCTACACCCAAGTGGGGCTTGAACTCACCACCCCAAAATCAAGAGTCGCATGCTCCTCTGACCGAGCCAACCAGATGGCCTAGAATCCCAATTTCTTTTAATGGCAGAAAAGGTATTTCAAATGCTTGGTGCTGGTTGCTGTGGGGTTGGTCATTGCTTCTAGGGCTTTTCAGTGGACAGAATTATAAAGCATACACACATGTACACATATTTAAAGACAAAATATTTGAGCTCATATTGATATTTCCAATAGAAACTCAGGATTTCGGAGTATTTAATTAAGTCTTCAGTGTTATGTCTGTGTGTCCTACACAGAAACCCGGGATAGATGCTCCTTAATTAATGCTCTTGCTTTATGCCACTGTAACATGCAGGATGTGGGTACTGATACTAACGTTCTGCTGTGCTGATGAAACAGCACTGGATGTACATGGTCGGCCATCACACAGTAAAGTCTCCCCTTTACCGTCATTTCATCTCTCTTCTGTGTATTCAGTGGTTACACAGCCAGCGTTTGGTCAGTGTCATCTTGGAACCATACTCCCTGAGCACCCCACGTTGACCTTAATTTGTTTGCTTTATGTTTGAAATCAGTTTTGTAGGGTATGAAATCCTTGGCTCACATTTTCCTTCCTTGAGTGTCTGAAGTATTTATTTCGGTTTTTTTCCGGCATGAAAAGCCCAAGGAGTCTTTCTTTCTTTCTTACAAGTCATGTCCCCTTTTTGCTTCAATGTCCCGAGATTTGGTTTCCCTGCTTCTCCAGCCCGTAGTTGTGTTAGACTGTGTCGTGTGTTGGTCGCCCTGGGTCAGTGTTTGCAGGAGCACGGTAGGCTCTTTGTGTGTGTACATTCACATCTGCTGTTTCAGCAGCGTTGCCTGAACTGCGGCTTAGTGTTCTGTTTTTCTTGCTTTGGCCTTCTGTTTTGGGGGAGCTTAGTATCTCTGTGTTGAATTCTGATTTGTCCATCCTCTGTGTTTTCCACTTTTTCTTGAACGTCTTTCATCTCTTTTTAAGTTTATTTTGTTTTTTTAAAAGTTGTCTGCCTGTTGATGTCCCATCTCTAAAGGCATTATTTGTCTTTGCTCTTGATTCTCATTTCTGAAACTAATTTTCTTGTCTCTCTAGTTTCCTTGAATTCTGTCACCTTATTTCTGATATTTTCTCATGCCAATGTGTCATCCTCCCATCTTGGATCTTATTTTTTGATGTTTCGAAGCAGTTCGTTTTGGTCTGTTTGGTGGTACGTCTTTCTGGCGTGCCCTTGCTGTATGTAGGGCATTTGTTCTGCTCCTTTTTCTTTTGTCTTAGCTCTCTGTGGGATTGATACCTTACCATCGCTCATTTTCCTAAACATTTAGTTCAGATAGTTTTTCACTTCACAGAGTTCTCTTTTCTGTTGAATTTTGAATCATGCTAAAAATATGGCGGCTAGCTTCCAGAGCTCTCCCAGCTCTGGCCCTACCGCACCTGCATCGAGTCCTTCTCCTTCCTCTCCACTGTCCCTGTCCTGCTGGTGCTGGCTCTGTCCCCACCACCTGGGTCCCTGCGGGGTCAGCTGCGGTGGCTCTTGGGCTCCACGGCTCCGGCCCTCAGACCTTCTTGCAGTGGGTCCCTTGCACCCATTCACCACCAGGGTAGGGACAACTGTCCTGCTCCAGCCACCAGCCTCAGGCTGGCCTGCCACACTTTGCAGTGGACACCTGTTGGCCCCTTTGGGGTGTCCTTTCAGGGGTCTGACAGGGGCCCAGGGACCCCACTGTGCTTTGCCCTACAGGTGTGCAGGCTGTGTTGGGCAGGCCCTGTCCTTCATATCCATTGTCAGCTTTTTGGAGTCACCATACCGTTGTGCTTTTTAACAGCTTTATGGAGGTGTGCTTGACGGACAGCAAATGGCACATGTGTAAAGTGAACTATGGATTCCCCTGTGATGTCCCCACCAGAACTGCCTGTCACCCCCCGCCAGGGTTTTCTCATACCCCTTTGAAATCCTTCCCTACCTGACCCCATCCCCAGACGACGACCGATCTACTTCCTGTCACTATAGATTAATTTGTATTTTCTAGGATTTTATATAAATAGAGTCCTACAGTATAAACTTTTAAGTCAGGAGCTTCTTTCACTCAGTGTAATTATTTTGGCATTCACGCATGCTGTGTCTGTCAATAGTTCACTCCTTTTTATTGCTGACGAGCATCCATTATATGGGTGCACCACAGCTTGTGTGCCCATTCTCCTGTTCATGGAGAACAGGTTGGTTGTCCCCAGTGTGGGGCTGCTGTGAACATGTATGTACTCGTCTTTTCCTGAACGTGTGCTTTTATTTCTCTTGAGGGGAATGGCTGGGTCACATGGCAGGTGTGTATTCGACTTTAAGAAACACCAACCAACATCTTTTACCATTTTACTTTCCCATCAACAGGGCAGGAGAGTTCCAGTGTGCTCCCCATCCCTGTCAGTGCTACTTGTCACCTAGTTTTGTTGCAGACGTCCGTGGTTCTGTTTCAGGTGAAGATTTGGGGGGATCCAAAAGTGCTCTTACTGTTGCCACTACCCTCCAAAAATCTGATTTTTTTTTTTTAATTGGGCAGTTCCTCTTTATGTGCCCAGGATTGGAAGTACAGAGATGAAAGATTTTGCCTTCCAAAACTTTCCAGTGTACTAGGGGATTTGCACAAATGCAAGTAATATCCATACAGAACAGGAAGTGCACGGAGCTTGAGGTAAGATGAAGCCCAGCCACTTTCAGTGAGAAGGGGAATAATAAAGGTACAGGAAACTCCTTCTTACTAACAGAAAATATCTTATTGATTATGTAAAACCAGCTGCATCAGGGCATCCAGGTGGCTCAGTCGGTTCAGCGGCCAGCTCTTGATTTCGGCTCAGGTCATGACCTTAGGGTTGTGAAATCGAGTCCCACATCAGGCTCCGCACTCAGCGTGGAGCCTGCTTGAGATTCTCTCTCCCTCTCTCTCTGTCTCTCAAAAAATAAATGAAAAGTAGCTGCATAACAGCTTTAGAAATGTGTCACTCTGTCAGCTTTGTCAAGGTCAGGACTACAGTATGGAACATATGCTCTGTGTCATGGAATACAGAAGCTTCTCAGCTGCAGCTCCTCTCAAAATACGAGCTTAATGCTTTGCAAGTGGAGGCTGTTGAATTGTAATTTGTAGCTTCCACACCAGAGCGATGAGGTCACTCCCTTGCTGGGGTTTGAGAAAATCGAGAGGATCTGTGCAGTCTCTCAGGTCTGGCACATGAAATACCAGCTAAACAAAACCAGACCGAAACCCCAGTTCTAGCCGTCGGGCACCTCTCATTTCCATTGATGTTTATCCCCAGTCAGACAAGCCTGGGGCCTTCAAAGGAAGACCTCGGCCTCCGTGTCTAGATGTCTCGCTTATGCTCATGTTC